ATATAAAATGTATATAAATATATATAAATGACATACCCCCTCGATCTCCCAATTCAATTTTTTCTTGCTGTGTAGTGAACAATTCACTGATTAGGGATAATGAAGTTTAGTGCCCAGAAAAAACCCTCTATAAAAACATTTCTCAAGATAGTCTAATATTCTGATTTTCTGATCTTTGGCCCTTGGGGTGAACTGGCAGTAAAAGATCAAAATAGGCTTGTAGGAAGACATGTTCCTTCATGCAAGGAGCTCCTTTGACACTAATGCTCCTTCCAAACAAAAGTAAATGAGTAGAAGATGAAAACAGCAATAGCAATTTAATTGTTCATGCTTATTATTCGGGATACAAAGCCCTAAAAAAGGAAGCTGTCTTTTCCTCCCTGGCTCAGGGGTTATTTATTAGCTCACACTCCACTTGGAGAACACATTGGATTTGCTGTCATTTATCGGCGATTTTCAAGGGGGATTTGATATGGAGTTGGTGGGGCTCGTAGAGGAGTGTAGCTGGTTAATGTGGTTAAGCACAGCACACTGTAATGAATCAATTTGTTTCAGACAACAGAGGTAATTAGTGTGGAGGTAATGGGCACACCACAGGACACAGGGCTGGAACATCCTCCTCCTTCGGCCAAAAGTGCCGGTGTCTGGGGCTGAAGGGGCTCGGGGGACTGAATTTCCTGGTTCCTCCCCCAGCTCTGGGCATAGGGAGGTGGCTGCAGAGGGCTTCCCATGGTGCCAGCCCCCTGGGAGGCTTCACTGGTCAGGGACAGCTGTGCCTGCTCCCCGTGGGGCTCCCACCAGGCTTGTGGTCCGTCACCTGTCCCCAGGTGTGCTCCGTCTGGGTTGCACCATCTTCCCAAGGCCTTTGCTCACTGGCTCCCACATGCGAGTTTTTGGCAGTGCTGGTTAGGTATGGGGGAGATATCTGCGAGTTCTCAGCTGGAGCATGGCCCTGAGGAGGGAGGAGAAGGGAGACAGCATTCCTTTTCCCACGGGAATGTTCGCTGCTGAGTCTGATCCCCTCTAGGGGCCCCTCGGGCTTCGCCAAGGGTCGCTGGCTTCCTGGACAAGGTGAAGTGTGGATTTTTGTGGACAACCTCCATCAGGCCAGGCTCTTTCCACCCCTGAGGGCTGGTGGCAGGTGGGAAGGTGGGAGCCAGCCCCTCACCATGAGGTAGTCCAGGTCCCACAGCTGGTGGGAAGGAGGTTTGGAGTGAGTGCAGCCAGACCCTGAGCAGGGAGGGACACCCAGGACACAGCAATAGATCCCGGGAGAGATGTGGAGATGGTGTGGAGTGGAATTGGGAACCTGACAGAGGTGCAGAGGGTGGGATTGGGAACATGATGGTCTCAGCTGTGTGAAAGGGGGCGGAGGGGGGCTGCAGTTTCACTTACAGGTACCCTGAGTTCTCTTGGGGATGAACTGCTCGGCTCTGAACTGGGTGTCTACCTGCAGCAGGGCCACGAGCTGGGGCTGGTAGAGGTGACACTGCTTGAACACATGCTCTGTGTCCTGGGGGTTTCCAAAGGGTTAGTGTATTCAAAGTTATTCTGTCTGTTTGATGTATTCTGTGTGTGAGGGGATTAATGTATTCGTCGCCTGCTGGAGGAAATCACTCTCCTTTCCTGGGATTTCTCATGTGCAAGGGCTGCTGGAGCCATGTGAAAGAGGAAACATCTTACAGATTAAAAAATGGCAAAAAGAAATCAGGTTTTCCTCTTGGGTGTGAGCTTTTTGCTTCCGAGTTTTCCTTTGAAGCTAAAACTGCTCTAGCAGGGGAAGATGTCTGCCAGATGCACAGGGCATTTGGTACCATGCTGACAAGTCCAAGCAGGACTGGGAATGAAGCAAGCTCAGCTCATGGGAGAAGATGGCAGACAGCAATCTGTGTCTGGCCAGGTCCTTGCTCCCCCTTTTTCTTCCTCTGAGCATTTGGGTACACCGTGACATAAATCCTTGCTTGCCTCCCCACTCCCAGATCCCTCAGCAAGACATTCCTGTGTGGGTTGTCCACATGCTGAGGTGATGTGGGATAAATTCCAGGCATGAAGTAGCAGTAGTGGATACCTGCTTGTCCTTTAGGATCACTCTCCTACTGCAGCAAGTAGCCATGACCCTCCTATTTGGGACATCCAGTTATACCAGTCCCAAGAACAATGGTGTAGATGGGATGGGCACTCCCTGGCTCTCCTTATTTAAGCTGTGTGGGTGCTGGGACTTGGCAGTGTGAAGCAATACAGCATCACACTTTCCCCACATAGCTCCTGGCAGGGCAAATCCAACATGTGCCTGGAACAATGTTGTCTCTGAGAGGACGTGGAAGAAACCTGATGGGAGGGAGCCATTGCACAAGGTTCCTGGGGGAGGGATGTGAAAGAGAAGAGGGAACTTGTGGTGGTTATGAAAAGGTGAATGGAGTGGGAATCGAGTAGAGGAGGATGGAGACAAAGAAGGAGATGAAAAGATGTGGAGGGAAGCAGAGGTTAGATCACAGAGGACCTGGAAGGAGTTGAAGGTGGCACGGAGACACAGTGGGGCCGTGCAAATGGGAGGTGATTACAGGGGTCCAAGTGAGGTGGGGGAGAGAAGGACACCGAGACAAGGCAGCATCATTTTGACATCACTGATTGGGAATCCCCTGCTAACGCTCCGCTGCCTGTGCTTTGTCCTAGGGCACTAAATGAGAATATGGCCAATGGCATTGAAGATCTTATCGGGATCCCATTCCCGAACCACAGCAGCGAGGTGTTGTGTGGTCTGAACGAGCAGCGGCACGACGGGCTCCTCTGCGATGTCATCCTCATCGTGCAGGACCAGGAGTACCGCACCCACCGCTCCGTCCTGGCTGCCTGCAGCAAGTACTTCAAAAAACTTTTCACTACCGGCACTTTAACAGACCAGCCCTATGTTTACGAGATTGACTTTGTCAAGCCTGAAGCACTTTCTGCCATCCTCGAGTTCGCCTACACCTCAACGCTCACCATCACCACCTCAAACGTCAAGCACATCCTCAGCGCCGCCAAGATGCTGGAGATCCAGAGCATTATCAATGTATGCCTTGAAATCATGGAGCCCGACAGAGAGGCCGAAGAGGAAGATGAGAAAGACGACGAAGATGATGACGAAGACGAAGACGAAGATGAGGAGGAAGAGGAGGAGGAGGAAGTGGAAGATTTCGTCAATCAGGAGAACCTAAACGATGTACAAGAAGTAAGCTGCCACCAAAGCCCTTCTGAGTCTGATCTTACCGAAGAAGCATATCCAGAAGCACCTAAAGATTTTCCAAATCACTTCCCAGCCAGTAACTCCTCTGGACACCTGGGCATGATACGAGACTTCTCCATCGAGTCCTTGTTAAGTGAAAACCTGTACCCTAAGGCAAACATCCCGGAAAGAAGGCCAGCTCTCTCTCCCTTTGCCCCCAGCTTCTTCCCCCATCTATGGAACGGAGACTTTAGCTCCTTCTCCCAGCTGGAGGAACCACAAGTAGACAACGGCCCCTTGGATCTGGTGATCAAAAAGAGGAAGATCAAGGAAGAGGAAGAGAAGGAAGACCTGCCTCCGCCTCCTTTCCCTAATGACTTCTTCAAGGACATGTTTGCCAACACCGCAGCAGCTCCCTTAGGGCATATTAAGGCAGAGACTGACTATAGTGCTTATCTGAATTTCTTAAGCGCTACCCAGTTCGGAGGAGTTTTTCCTCCATGGCCCCTGGAGGAAGAGAGGAAAATAAAGCCCAAGGCATCCCAGCAGTGCCCCATCTGCAACAAAGTCATCATGGGAGCCGGCAAGCTGCCCAGGCACATGAGGACCCACACGGGGGAGAAGCCCTATATGTGCAATATCTGTGAAGTTCGCTTTACCAGGTGTGCATTGGGTACCTCTGCCATGTGTGGGAAGGGGGATGGTGGTGGTTGGAGGGGCCGTGTCATGACCTGTGACTGATTCCTGAGCTACACTTTTCTTTTTCACCCCATAAAAAAAGTAGGAAAGAAAGCAGAGCACGAGCTCTATCCTTTCAGAAAAAAAAAAAAAAAAAAAAAGAGAGAAAAAATGGAGTAAGGGAGGAGAGTGAGGAGGGTGGAGGAAGAAAAATGAACCTACTGATTTTTGTGGGTTGTGGATGACATCCACAACTCACTGGATCCATCCCCTCGCTGGACAAAAGCTTAAATAAGTAACAGGATATTTTCAACCCCACAATAGTTCACCACAGTGGGACCAGAGTGAGCTGGAAAACAGATGGTCAAACAGCCAAGGAAGCTTCATCTCCAGTGTGCTGGGAGATGCATTGAGTTGGGAGGGCCGTTTAGCCACAGGATGTAATTAGTTTGGGTTTGCACATTTTGGCACCAGTGTAGACCACAACCAAGTTGCACATGTTTGGACATGACAGTATCTGGGTTTTCTGAGGCTGGAGCAGTCCTAATTATTATATGTTACAGTGCGGTGGGGGTCAGTCTCTTCTCCAGAATAACAGGCAACAGGACAAGGGGAAGCTGCCTCAGGTTGCACGAGGGGAGATTTAGATTGGATAGTAGGAAAAATTTCATCATAGAAGGGGTTGTCAAGCATTGGCACAGGCTGCCCAGGGCAGTGGTGGAGTCTCCATCCCTGGGGGGATTTAAAAAATGTGGTGTTGGGGCATCTGGGGACATGGCTTGGTGGATTTGGTAGTGCTGGGGGAACAGTTAGACTCATAGAATCCCAGAATGGTTTGGGTTGGAAGGCACCTTAAAGACCATCTTGTTCCAACCCCCCTGCCATGGGCAGGGACACCTTCCACTAGACCAGGTTTATCAGAGTCCTGTCCAACCTGGCCTTGGACACTTGCAGGGATGGGGCAGCCACAACTTCTCTGGGCAGCAATTGGAGCAGGCTATACAAATCTAATGCTCCAGCTTGAAACCCTTCCCTGCAAAGCTGGGCAAATTTAATCGGCGAGCAGAGACAAATAGATTCCTGGACCTGCTTTTGCTGAGTATAATTAATATCTAATGAGGACAATCTTTACCATAATAATAAAGCTTTCTGACAAGAGCATGGCATTTCAGCTCCTGGCTGCGTGTGAGAGGCAGAGCCCTATTAAGCTGGGGCGGGAAAACCAGAGGAAAATAATCTGCGCAGTAGGCAGAGGCGAGCTCCTGACAATGGCCAGACACCTGGGGTGCTCCTGCATTCAGCCTGCCTTTTCTTCTCCTGTCCTATGATAATATTCGAATGGAAGATATGCAGATGATGAGGATTTGACCTGAAAATAAATTTCCATGCTCCCCTCCATTAACGCAGCAGACACCGCATTATGATGCGGGGAGCATCATGCCTCGGGCGGGCACATGCGACGTGAGCCTGGCTCACCCTGCTATTTTTAGGGGAAGGGCCACTGCACGGTGATAATTCCTGCCTGCAGGAATTCGGATCCAGCTCCTGCTGGTGCTGCCTCCCCAGGTTAACGCTGGGTTGTTGCTTCCAGAGAGGTGGTTCACCCCGGTGGTTGTGGTGGCATCCCAGGCTGGAGGGACCACCTGGCCAGCCCGTGTTACTCTCCTGCATGTGGTGCTGATTGCTGATGAGGAGATAGCTTGGCTTGACCCATCACTGACACCTTCCCTATAAGGGACATAATAGGGCCAAGCCCTTCCAGAGGGTTCCCAAAGTCCTTTACATACAAGGGCAGCATCATTGGGCTTAGTTTGGGGAAACCGAGGCACAGAGAAATGCTGGTACTGGCTCACTTTGAAGGTTAGTAGGAGGGTTCAGGTGAGGGTTCAGGCATCCTGACCCCTAACCCAGGCAGCTTAAATCAGCATCATGGAGGTTAAAAGCTCAATGCAGAGCTGGCCTAGCATGGCCCACTGCTAACACACGGTGAAACCCAACAGCTTTGACATCCCCCATATGCTCAACAGCTTCTAAATACAGAGCACAGGGGTAGTGGGACTTTAACCCAGCAAAAAAATGACAAAATTGGGACTGACCCAGTGGTGCAATCTCCCATCATCACTGATGAAAACAAAGTTGTTCGTGTGGGTCACCTGACACTGAGCTGAGCGCAGGAGGGATTTTTCCTTCTCTAACACCCTGAGCAAAGTGGAAATCTCAAAACATTTGTTTGTTTTTAAATGCGTTTGGAAGGATTTTGAATAGCAAAAAGCTATTTGGTTTTGTTTGAGGTGGGTTTTTTTAGCCATTTGCAGCATTACTCTGATGTGAGAACTCTCCTTTAGGAAAAAGTGTGTTTTTAAGCAAAGTGGAGTGATTGAGATGTAGGAAGAGATTTCTGTCGGGATTTCCTCAATGCTGCCACTTACATTAGTGTTTTGCTCTCAGGGGGGAATTCGTGCTTCCTGAAAGCATCAGACTTGTGCCCCACAGTGCCTTCACTGGGGAGATGCAAGCCCAGATGGTTCCTTTTTGGGTCCCCTGGGAATGAGGTGCAGGGAAGCAGAGGTTCCCAAATGGGATTTCTGAGTGAATCAGTCCTTTGCGTTATTTCTGCCTTTTAAAGAATTGTGTAGGAGCAAATCTACTGGGGAAAATAGAGAAAATATATTTTCCTGGGTGGGGAGTCCGCCAACCTCCCCATCAGATCCCCTCCCCTCCACATCAGTAGGATGTGAGGACCCCCCATGCACCTGGATGTGCCACTCCCGCCGCCCAGGGACATCTGATCTCAGGAAGCAGGACTTCATTTAATAGCTCATTAATTTTTTTCCTTAAACAAAGGCTGCTCAGCCTCTAGTCTGCTGTTTCACCCTGCTAGAACGCTGGAGAAAACTGCAAATATTTCACCTTTTCCACCAAGACAGCCCCAGAGTGCTCAAGGAGAAACTGTTCCAGCCGGAAAGGTTAACATTATTTGTTCCTATTATTTGTGTTGTGACAGCTCGCAGAGCCCTAATCGCTCTCCTAATGCAATTGCATTAAGGTTATTCACACACACGGAGTGTGGATCTCCTTTGGAGAGCCTGCGAGCCCAGCTCCCGGCTCACAAACCCTGTGTCCCCCACGCCACATCCTCCCCGGGGTGCTCCACCACAACCGGAGCATCCCACCCCGCCCCCAGCCTCTGAGCTGCTCCAGGTAGAGCCATAAACCTTCTCTTACATCCCCCCGAGGCGTGGGGGGATTGAGTTTCTCCCTGTCTGCTGCCGGAGATGGGAAACAGCCTGAAAAGAGCTTTGCCTGTGTTTACATTATGCAGTCCTGGCACGCGGCGTGTTTATTAGGAAAAGCGATCCCGCTAGGTTAAACTTTACATATAGAGGTTTAAATTAAATTATAGGCGGGGCTGGTGGCTCTGCTTTTTATTAACGCTTCCCACCACCTCGCAGTACGAGCCCCCTGCCTTCATCCGTGTGTGCGAGTTCGCCACGTTTTATCTGCTCGGGGTGAAATTTTCCGTGCTGCTTTGTCTTCTGCTGAGCCCTTTCGGGGGAAATGCACCCTTGTGAAAATTCTTGGGAAAACAGCAGCTTTAAAAATGTCGGAGTGGGAAGTCGGGGTCTGGCCCTGAGCTTGGTGCAGGGACCGGGAGATGCTTTTTTTCCTGTCTCCCTAAAAATCTGTAGGTGCAGGACCAGGCTGGGACCAGTTTCCCAAAGTCAGTAAAGCATCATCTGGTGAAGAAGTGGCTCTCCTCCTAGGGATACTTCTCTGTATCCTTGATCCTGAGGGATTGGTGTACAGGGGTGGCCAGACCAGGGCTGCACTCCTCATGGACTGGCTGACACCAGTGTGCTGCCAGGCATGTCACCAAAAACTACTTCAGTGTGCACACAGGCAGGGTGGCAAAAATTAGTGCAAAGGTAGCACCTTGCATGTTTTGAGGGCTTGACCTGGCAGAATAAATACATTTTTTTCAGGGGTGGTTTTTATATTACATAAATCAAAATATCGTAACATGTACCTAGGTTATGTATTATATAATTTATAATGCAATTATATTTTTAAACCATAATAAATAGTATTATATGCTGTGTAATATTTATCTAAAATATATAATACAGTTTTATATGAGATATCTATAATATATAGGTTTTATATATAATAATGACATGACTCCATGTGTTCTACATATAGCCCCAGTATTAGCACTTTGGAGGGTTCATACCAAAAAGCATTTTGCAAAACAATATGAATTTTCATACTTTGCTCTTTACTTGAACTCCACTGGTAAACCTAACTGAGCAGTGCTTATCTCAGTTCAGCTACTGACAGCTTTACAGTTTTATAATCATATGCTTTAGCTGTGATTTTTTTTTTTTGACTGCAGAAGGAAACATTTATTGCAGGGGGGAGGAAATAGTGACTGGACTGCCAGCGTGAGAAAATATTCTTTCTTTCAGATATTTGCCTTAAATATATATATATATATTTGTAAATAAGTGCCATTGGGATGGATATTATGCTGTTCCAAGGCTGGATTTAAAAACCTTCTCCAGACTGTTGAGTGAGGCTGGATGTGTGATGGCCTTGGAGACCATGGCAGCGAAGGATTGAGTGCCTGGGAGCTGCACCTCTGCCAGCACCACCCTCTGTGATGCTCCTGCTCCAAATGAAAGCCTCCTGAGACACCGTGTGGTCAGTGCAAGGATAAAATGAAAGGAAAATCCAAGAGGGACTTAAATTAAGCAGTATTTTCAGCCCACGGTGCCAGACTCTTGAGTCTGAACAAATTTCTTTACTTGCAAGCAGGAATAGGGCTGTGCTAAATTAGCTATTCCCTTATTTAGATATACATAGATAGATATATTCCCATGTTTAGATACTCACCCTCTGTAACTCTCTGACAGGAGGGTGGAGCCAAGTGAGGGTCAGGCTCTGCTCCCCAAGGAAGGGGAAATGACCTCGGGTTGCACCAGAGGAGGTTTAGATTGGATACTACGGAAAATTTCTTCACTGAAAGGGTTGTCCATCCCTGGCACAGGCTGCCCAGGGCAGTGGTGGAGTCCCCATCCCTGGAGGGATTTAAAAGCCCTGTGGATGTGGCACCTGGGGACAAGGGTGAGTGGTGGCCTCGGCAGTGCTGGGGGAATGGTTGGACTTGATGGTCTTAGGGGTCTTCTCCAGCCTTAATGATGCTATGTTTCCCTGGTTTTGGAGTTTATTCCAGAGGGCTTTTTTCCTCCAATTTAAGCTGGTTTTGATCTCTCTGGGATGGGCTGCAAACTCCTGACATGTGTGTGTGTGTGATGTTTAGGTGCCCAGGAAAGAGAAGGCGAATGCAGAGGTCAACCTGCAAGAGCATCCACACACTGGGGGGAAACCCCAAGACAGGCTTCCCACCTTTCCTCTCCTGACCCAAAGAGCAAACCCAACCCCACCCCTTCCAGCCCACGCCGCCCTGACCAAGTGCCTTTTTTTCCCCTCTCGCAGGCAGGACAAGCTCAAGATCCACATGCGGAAGCACACGGGGGAGCGGCCGTACCTGTGCATCCACTGCAACGCCAAGTTCGTGCACAACTACGACCTGAAGAACCACATGCGCATCCACACGGGCATCCGGCCCTACCAGTGCGAGTTCTGC